CATCCATCCATCCATCCATCCATCCATCCATCCATCCATCCATCCATCCATCCATCCATTTCCTTTACCTGTTAAACCATACTATGAAAAATTTGACAAGAAAAATTCTAGTTAAAAGCTCAGCAAATCAAAACACAGAAAAAAAGTTAAAAGAGTAAAATTCTAGCTTATTGTAAGCTAAAAGTATCCAAAACCCAGCAAGAAGCTAAAACCAGACCAAATAAAAAGTTGGAAGTAACTCTAGCTTAAATGTAAATGTGCCAAAATGCCATTTGAAAACTAAAATTAGCAAATGGCTGGCAAAAAGCYAAAAGTAGCTAAACACTTTAAGTTGGCAAAACAAAAGTAAAAATWGCCAAACCCCAGCTAAAAGTTAAAGCTAAACAATGCTAATAATTTGTTAAAAGAGACAAAACTTTAGCTACAATGTAAACATATCAAAATATTATTTAAAAACAAAGTATCAAAATGCTGCTCGTAGCTAAAAGTTTCAAGACGGTTTTTAAAGGGGCTGTAAGAAGTAGAATCTTTGGTCCAGTGAAAATAAAGACAGCTTTAGAAATGTTCAATCTTGGATGACCCTTCTGTTGTGCCCCTCTGTTCTCGCTCTCCCGTGATGCTGTGCTTCTTTAATGACGAAGTGACAAACAGTAATGAGTGAATGAGTGATAGAAGAGGCACCTCATGTAAAAAGGACAAATCTWGGCTGTGACACGGACTGGGCAAGCTTCATTCAGATCCATTTCCCATTTGTCCCAGGTCCAATCTGGAGGAGGCTCCAAAGCAAAGCACTTTCACATTTCTTCTTCACCAAATAATTCAGGGAAATTCTTTTTTTTTTTTCTTAACTGCACCTTGTTCTGTTTCTCGGTATGCTGGTTTAGCTGAACAGGGTTTTGTGTTTTAATCTCCTTTGCTTGATCATGTGTGTTGTGTATTCTTATAAAATTGCCAGAGTTGYGATTTAAACTTAAAACTCCTTACATAAACTGTTTAGGTTAGCTACTTTCAGTTTGTTTTTGTAAAATATCTTCAGGGCAGGAAGTGACTTTTAAGCAYAAGTGTGCAGCTCATGTTGCAGAGTTCAAAGACTTATTATATTTAGCCATATTATCTATTCTATAGCAATGCCTCCCTTATATCTCCTGCCTCCTTCACTCTGTGACAGTACAGTAAGTGAATAAAGGTTCYGTCTTAGGGAATGTGTTCTAGCGTGAGTCCATCTCAGAAAATAAAAAAAGAAATGCTAAATTAAATATGCTTACTGTGTCTTGAAMATATTTGATGGGAATCCTCTAGAGGCATCTCTTTCTAAAAATACTAATTTTCGCTTTGTGTTTTTGTGAAGAATCAGAAGGGAGCGACAGTGTGAGGGGAAATGGATAAAGGAGAAACACTGAAACAAGAGATTTATTTCTAAAAAATCTGTTTCTTTTTCCCTTAAAGCCGACTGCTTCTAAAGGCCCTCACTGTGCGCTTTGTCACCTGACCGACAATTAAAAAAAGGTGCAAGTAGCTCATCGAGATTCCATTTACATGTCATTTCCAATRCAACAGTGTAACAGGCAGCAGGCACAGTAACACAGCCAAATGGCAAACGGTCCGGCTGCCAGTCGGCTTCGTTTTCAGCCAGCCCTGAAATCTTTGGCTAGCGGGCGAGGCTGAGAGAGGATTCTGGCAAACCCGAATGGCAACGGTGACCAAAACAGACAATAGACACGAGGATGGCTTGTCATTTCTTTTTTGATTGCTGAAGGCTGTTGCAGAGAAATCGTCCAATCACGTGTGCGGCGGACACAAAAAGAGGACCGCACACTTGTGGTGCTCATACAAGTAAACCAAGGCGGCTCATTCCCGCTCGCACAAAAACACTTTTATAGCTCTTAGTGAACGGAGTTAGTTTTATCTGCCAGCAGACAGGCAGGTCATTTATATGGTAAACTCCCTGATGCCACCTGAGCTGCTTTAGATGGGCTGACTATATTTTAGGATAAACACAGCTCCTATGAATTGATTTTGTGTGTGGGTGTGTGATTGTGAGTGGGCATATATCTGCCTCTTTTCCTCCCCTTCTGTCTGATAGGGAGACCGTGAGAAGTGAAGGATTCCTGAGGATTATCTGATTGTTTGTGGAGATTGAGAGACCTCATTCCAGCAAAGGGATTTATTTGTATTTGTGTGTGTGTGAGGCAGATAGAGGAATCTGTATGTCAGTCCATGACATTGAGGAAACCCACGGTCAAATCCCTGCTTTAATTCAATTTGGMTTTCATTAATGACATTATTTCCTTGCCAGTGTGACTTGATGACTCCCACACAGTAATGAAAAACAAATATCTCTTTGCAGGCGGCCCTGTGAAAATATGTCAGACAAGATGCCTGCTTAATAAACTAAGTTGCTGGAAAGARGAGCTTTGTGTTCGCAATGAAGAGGAGCGTGATGTGTTTCCCAGCTTGAACTTTGAGAAAACAATGCGSCCAATGATCGAGTGTCTGCTTTTTGTTTTATTAGCTTTAGTGCCGGAGCCTGAAAAAAAACATTTCCGCGCAGCTAAGCTCCCGTTCGCTCCCACTGGGTCGCAGCGACTCTGCAGTAAATCCAGGGAGGATGAAGGGGGGAAATATGTTCAACGTTTCAGGCATTTGCCCTGTGGTTCACGCACAGACAATTTCTT